TCAGACCTGACAACTATAAAAGTGATCATGAATATATGCCACAACCTTGACTCCCTCTTCAGAACCCTTGGTGAATATAAGCAAGTCATTAGCAAAGCTGAGATGGCTTTCCTTAAACTTAAACTTATCGTGGAAGGCTCTTCTTCCACGATTCTCAAGAGCATAACTGCTGCTCAAATTAAATATCTCAAGAGCATAACTGCTGCTCTGCCTCAAAGATATCAAATGGCAACGTACTGGCGCTAGTGACTAAAAACACTTAAAACGACTTCGCCTTCTTGAAGGTGAGCTACTTCTTAAAAAGAACTTGTTCTTAAACTTTAACAATAACTTATACTCATAAAATTTCAAAGTAAATAATAAACCTTCACTTCAAGTCATAATTCAAACAACTCACATATCATCAACCAAACACATAAACAGCCATATCAACCACTTCACAAAATACTTAAAATGCGTAAGGTAACTGTTTGAAAATACGTAAGACGTAAAATTTACCCCCTTACACTCACCTTATTACACAAAATCGATTGGCTTGAATATACTACCATCCATGGATCAGATTCCATCCTCGCTTCTCGTATACCATCCTCACCGATCTAGACGTGGACTCCGTTAGTTAATAATTATCAGCATGGACACAGAACCCAACTCCATCATATCCTACCTACTAACCCAACCACCATTAACTTTTTCATAGTATTTGCCTAGGTATGATTCCTCCACTTTCACTCCAATCATATAATTCCATCACACAATTTCTTGCAACACTCGGCAACCCCTTATACCAATTGTTTGACTAATTCAGATCGCCAATGAGAAGCAATTATAAAGGGCAAGGCATTTACCATATGCATGACCCTTCTTCTTCTTGGACGTGGTTCCGTTGGCATGATCCTGGTCGGTGGCGATGAGTGTCACGTCCCCATCACCTAAAACCTCTTGCCGCTGCTAATGGACAACTGTCCCCGAGAGAGAGAGAGAGAGAGAGAGAGAAGGATCAATTTGGGCCGCGAGCCTTTCCTCTGGAAATCGATCACCGTCGGGGGGGGGGGGGGGACATCTGCTGATCGGCGGATGCGAGTGGGGGAGCTGCTGGGGCGGTGATGTGAGGAGGAAAAGAGGAGCGGCTATGGTAGCTTTCCCCTTCTTTTCCTTTAGGTGGTATTTAAATGTCCAAGTGTAGCCGAGTGGACATGCCTAGGGTTAATTAATCATATGGGTATTTTGAGAATTTCACGATTAATTGGGTATCAAGTGAGTTTAATACAAAACTCAGTTAACGATCGTAACTTTTCCATTTTATGTCGAAACTCAACATTGTTTGAACCGAGAGTTCACCTTTTTAGTCCTTATCGATATTATGATAGAATTTGAAAATTTTGGAGCAAGGACATAATGATAATTTTGATTTAAGGAAAGGGTGGGGTATAACAATATTTATTAAAATTATTTGTTATTCAAGATTTATTGTTTGATAATAGGGCCGCCATATATTGTTTGAGCATGGCTAGATGCAACAAATCATGTAAAACAATAAGAGTCATAGTTTCATAACTATTTTGAAAATCATATTCACGGTCATCTGCTCTTTGATTGGCCAACATATTTCAACCTCATGTGTTGTACATAACTTTTCATTGATTTCATGCATCCACATGTTTCAGCCAAATATTGTGAGAATCTAATATTTTGTTCAACCTCGTGAAAAAACAAATCATGCACATGATCTAAATTATCATATGTAATGATCGAATCAGAGCCATTTATACTTATTTCTCCTCTGATGAATGTATAACTCAACTAACTTAGAAGTCCAACATTCTGGTGGTAGTAGAGTGCTCAATAGATGGTAAATTTATCTTCTAATTGATACATATAACCCTTGCCCACCATTCAAATAATGATCCATCTTTTGTCACTCATATAATTAAAGTCAAAATATACCATTGTAGATCATTATGTACTCTCAAAAATATATTGTAACTTTGATATCTCACACTAATAAAACCAATTGGAATTCAGATGTGATCGACCTTGAGACTCATAGAACTAAACTCTACGATATCATTATAGATCATTATGTACTCATGAACCTTACCATTTTATCATATGTAATGATAAAATAGAGTTGTTTTTCAACTCAATTCTTTGTTTGATGAATGTGCAAATGAAGTTGTATCATTGGTGTTTTAGTATATGAAAAGGTTAATATCTTATTTTTTTCTTTTTTTGTTTGAAATGAACATGACATGAAAAGTTAATAAAAGTTTGGATTTGGTCGATAACTAAATTTCTCTTTTATTTATGTATGATTTTATTCAAGAATTTGTACATTCTTATTGAAACAAAAGTTCTTTAGTCGTTAATGATTTCTGTTATGAACAAAAATTAGAATACAATATTTATTTGTGACATTTTCTAATAAAATTTATTTAGAAATTACACTCAACACTTTTAAAATTGAATAGGATGTCAACCAATATAGTAAAAAATAACATGGCTATAGGTTAGCTGTTAAATTCATTTGAATACGTACCACAACATAGTGAAGTTTTTGTTGTGCACAATTCTCTTTTCAGGATGTACTTTTTTAACATGACTCAGCAGTCAGCACAACCCTAACATGTACTTGAATATTGAGGTCCGAGTGTGAAAATTTACATATTTGATAAATAAGCACCTAAGAAATAAACATCGTCTAGATCAATGAAAATGAGAGAGAATTGCATATCATGATCATGTAATTAAACTGTAGTTGTAGTCCAGATCAGACCATATATACGGTCTATGGTCCAAATTGAGAGTTGGAGCATAGACCAGAGACCATACCATGTACTATATGGTCCAAATTAGACCACGCCTATGCGATCTGGTTCGGTATAGTATGGTTCTGATAGACCACAATGTACGAAAAATGAACAATTTGTTTAGTCAACCACACAAAAAAGTGAATCAATAACCGAGAAAAAATTGTTTTTTCATCTTAAAACATAAACTCCAACATGCATGAGGAATTTTGACATCCTAAATCTAAGTAACCAACAAAAATACAAAGTCAAAGCATCCCAACTTGCACCATAACATCATAAACATTAACATAATGCCATATGGAGACACAATCGTCTCTACTCTGTCATGAAATGTGGTTGTGAATGAAAGAGGGGACGAGTTTCTCAAAATTACGGTTGAGACTTGAGTCTTGTTGGGGGAATCTAGAGAGTGGTCGAGTAGGCTGCTAAACACTTATTTGAAGTCGACTAGTTCCACAGTTTGGTCCGGTAAACCCCTGTCTAGATCAAACCAAACCAAGAGATCAAAACATCATATACTACAGACCATGGACCAGACCAAAAAAGACTATTTTTAACGATCTACGGTCCGAACCAAACTGTGCGGTCCGATTGGTCCATGATTTTTCAGACCGTCTAGTCTATTTTTCCCGCCCTACTTTTCCCCTTTAACAACATGAGTGTATAAATGGGCCAGCTTCTAATTTTAATCACCTGATCCATATATTTCAGTTTTGGAAAATGTTAATACCCTATTTTGTCCAAAATTTGGTATAAGTGACATTTTTTGTCCAAGCTTTCAAATAAACAGTTTTGATGAAATTCTGAAAATAATAAATAGATTTTGCATGAACTTTTGGTTGATTGTCAATACTAACGATCAAATAATTTCGCCCTCAACTAGTTAGTAGGGTTCCGCCAGAATTCGAGTGCACACTATATATTAGCAGCCAATTACCGTATCCAATAAATTTATCAATTTTGCACCAATTTATTATATCCTCATTAAGAAAATTATCAGTATCCGAGTCTAGTAAGATTCAAACTGATTATAACCTTCTATAAAAAAAAAATGGGATTAGGTGCTAACCCTTATAGGGGTTAGCACCGTGATAACTAGCAAAAAAAGCTACTAAAAATAACGAAATCACTATGGATTATTATAAAATCAATACAAGCTACTAAAAATAACGAAATCACTACGGATTATTATAAAATCAATACTACATCTAAGCTAAATTACTACTAATTCAAACTAGTAGTAGTTTTTCCCTTGGGTGCTAACTATTGTACAATTAGCACCATAGTCGTTCCCAAAAAAAAAAAAAACTGATTATAACCCAAGGTTGTAAACCCGCGGGTTGACCCACTTTGACCCTGACCCGGTGAGAAAAACGGGCCGTAGGCACCCGCCGGGTCGACCGCCACAAGCTACCGGGTTGGAGGTCAAATTGTGTCATTTTTTTCTTTGTTTTGCGAAATGCGCCTATTTTCCGATTTTTCTTTTCGCCTAACTCAATCTTTGGAATCCTAAGTTGAACATTTGAATATTAATGTTATATAAGTGTGTGTGAATTTTCACTATATGTTGAATCCAAGTACGAAATGTTATTTTGGTGTAATATTATATGTTATAACTCATATGTTAGATGAGATTTGATATAATTTTTTTTTTTTCGTTGAATAGATTTGATATAATTTATCAGGATAAGTACAATATGATGACGCTTTTCTTATTTCCGGGCTAAACCGGGCTAAAACGGGTGACCCATTACCCTTGACCCACTAACTCAATCGGGTCCGGGTCAACCCGCGGGTTGACAACCTTTTTATAACCTTTCTAAATCTTCAATATTTCTTTTACATTACATTGTGAGAGATAAGATTATCCCCATAACTAGAAGTATTGAAAATGCCGCCATTTTAGTCATTCTGGGTTTGCCAAATTACTACTCCTAGCCTTCTTTCTAATTTAGTTTTCCTTTCCAAATCTACCTTCTCTTTTCTCTTCTAGCTGCATGATTGCCCAGGAACCCTTTCTAAAAAGACAAAATTAACGTTGAAAGAATTATCAATGCTTATCAACGCATGTAAGTCAGTATTCTTCCATGCCTATAATATATTTATTTATTTATATATATTGCGTTTAAGTTCAACACAGCTCAACCTAATTCATTACCTATACATAAACTAAAAGTGTACGTGTTGTATCAAAACCACCACACCACACCATCGTCATAGTTTGTACATTATTAGTAGTTAATCTGCCTCCTAGCTATTTCTCCCAACAAAAATGAGGAGATCATCAGCAACCAACTTGGGCGCCGTCGTCGTCCTAGTTGTATTCGTCATTACTCTTGCCACGCTAGCTCCACCAGCAACTGCTCGTCGTCTTCGCCGCGAGAATGCAGGTACTACTACTTCCGTTGCTAGATGGAAGAATACACTAATGAGACCCGAAGGAAGGCGGAGCCTTGGTGATTCCACGGCCGGTGTCGACGATGGCAGCACTGCTGGCGATAACATGGACGGTACTACCGGCTCCAATAGCGCCATCGTTGGTTCCAGGGCGGTTGGGGTGGCCGTTCATAGCGACGACAAGTTTGTTGGTGACAAACGTATTGCGGACTGCTGCTATAAATGCTGTGGTTGATAATGACGCACCTGATCGATATTAGAATATATATATGTTTTTAGACTAAAAAAAAAAGAATATGTATGTATGTAGATACTGTAATGATTAACTGCAAATATGGGTGTTATTATGTAAGAACTAACGATGAGTACACTATATTATACGTTTTTTTATATGAGGGACCCGTCTTGGGACGGCAAACCCGACTCTCATAGATATTCGCGACAAACCCTGAGAGCATTTAATGCAAGCTTACAGTCTTATCGGTGGCATATATATACGTTTGCAAAGAACTAATTCATCCTAACAACGTTCGATAGAGAGCTGAGTCTTTCCTTGTTGCCGTCGGAATCAATTTCGGGTAGGGGTGTGCAATGGTCCGGTACGTACGGGGACTGCACCAGATCAAACCGATATTTGGACCGGACCACATAAAACCGAGTATAATACGGCCCGGCCCATGGTTCTCTGAATTTTATAATTACTGAAGAAAAAATGGAATGAATTGATTTTTGAACCGGACCAAACTGGACCGAATGCAATGATGGTCCGGTTCTTGGTACTAAGATGTATTTCACTAGTGGACCGCAGTTCTCATTAGTTTGGTCTGGTCCAGGCCGGACCAAACCGTTGCACACCCCTAATTTCGGGGGCCTCGTGGGCCTTGCCTAGATCACTAGTTGTTGTCTCGAGATGTGGGGCCTGGTTTATGGGTTGGGCCTCAAGACTTAAGACGAGCTTCTTCTACGGGGATGTCATTTGTCAAGCTGACTTGGTGTACGGGAATCAAACCATCGTAACTATTTAGCCTCGATTTAGGCTTGCGTATCTTATTTTATTATTAATTTTCTTTATTATTGTTTTCATCATTCAAGTAGAATTTGTGTTATTGTTTAAGAGTTTATTATTATTTCCTTGTAGGTTGGGTTCATGTTTCCGAAAGGAAAAGGGAGAGGGAGGCCGCCGGCCATATTGGAGAAGGATCGGGATTTTGGGATTTTCCTAGCCTACAAAATATTTAGTCATTCTCTAGTTTAATGATATGATCATATTGAAATTCAATAATAGTTTGCCGTTTATCCCTATTTCATCTCAATTCATTTCGTTCTAAGTCTATTTCTTATGTTTATATATCGATTACGACGACACACGTTGCGTGAAGGTTCTCACTGGAGAAATACACATAACAATGGGTATTAGAGTCTTGTTTCAACGACGTGATCCGAGAGATGGCGCCTAAGAAATCTACGCAAGCATCATCCGCTTCTGAACAACCCATTACCAACGAGGAAGCCTTCCAAGGGGTTCTTCAATTCCAACAAGCCGCGAGCGGGCAGCTCCCGAAGGTCAGTCGATGTCTGCAAATGTTCGAGGAGGGGATCTTGAAGGTGTAGAATTCCGCGACGCAACTCCAGGCATCTCCAGCGCAACAAATCCAGGGGGTTATCACGCAATACCAGGCAGCCATGGCACAACAGCTCCAGTAGGCCATGGCGCAACAACATGCACCAATAGCACAACATCAGACGACCATGATGGAAACGATGCGCCCAATGATCGCCAGCTCCACCGAGGAGAAGGCGACCCCGACTTCGTCTCCAAGGCAGCGTTCAACCGTGGACATTTCGACGGAGGAGAAGCTCAAGGGCGTGGAGGCGGACAAGGAAGTAACAACAGGGAACCTTGTCGTGAAGACAATCGAAGTTGGGGGAGCGGGACACGATACAAGCAGCGGTGATCTCGACGGAGGCGAGGCGAACAATATGGGTGGTGGGAAACGGGACGGGACTGGGTACCCGTCCCGTTTGAAATGGGTACCCATTCCTATTTTAAGAGAAAAATTCATCTCATGTACCAAACCCGTACGGGTTAACGGGTATCCACTACCCATACGGGACGGATAATGGGTACCCGCGGATACCCATAGATGAAGATAATTGCAGCTAGAGAGGTTGTTACCTCTGTTTACTATGTCTCTCTCAAATGCACGGTTCCACCATTCTATCATGTCTTCTTTTTCTCGCAAGCTTTACTTTTGGGCTTTCTCTAGTACGAGCCAGGACTTTGAGTATAAGATGAAATTTAGTGAACTTTGCTCTCATCCTGCTTTGTCAAACAAAGGATAATCCACATCTCGTTAGAATATATCTAACCCAAAATTATCATCCAAGTTATTAATCTTTATTTAACTACATTGGAGACTGAATCAGAGAAACAGAAACTAAAGATTTGCAAGGACGGACAGAACCAGATACTAAAATATCCAAAATTATCCTATCAACCTCATTATAGGCACACTTAAACTACTAGAATGAACCAGCTCATCAAAAGTAAATGATAAAATCATCATGATTAGCCAGTATCAGAAACCTTACGAGTAAAAAAATTAACATGTAAATGATTTTGCTTAACTTCTGGCTATTATGGGGTTTGGCTATGGGCGGGTAGTAGGGGTACCCATAATACCTAAACGGGTATTAACGGGTAACCCGCGGGTACCCATTATAGAACTTCTTGATCCCAAGTATCATCCCATTAAAAAAATTACTGGTATTTGGGTACCCGTAACCCGCAAAAAAACGACGGGTATGGGTATACCCAAATATCCATTTCTCGTTGCCCACCCTTACAAACAACGAGGGATCGATCGCCGTGATCGATTTGGAATGGGGAGCTCTCATAGGGTGACGGCGGAGTGGCATAGCGATGGAAGGAGGCGGACCAGAGGAGACGGCGGCTCCGCGGGTGGTGTTTCCTCCGGGTCATTTCATTCATTAGTCACGAGGCGCTCGCGAAAATCAAGCAGACCAGTTCCTTGACAACTACTTGTTGACTTTTGAGAAATTGGGTAACCGGTGCTTAGGGTGAATTGAGGAGGTGCTAATAGGCTCATTCATTAGTGGGCTCAAATATGAAATTTCTGACGTGATTCACGATTGGCCATCATTGTGCCAACAAGAACATGCTACTAATGATTGGAGCATGCGCCGAGGAGGAAAAGCATCAATTCATTCATGAAGATGACCAACCTTAAGGGAAATGTCATTGTGAAGGGGGGAGGAATGTTACGAGAATCAAGCCATGGTAACTATTGGGACTCGATATGGGCTTGCGTATCTTATTTTATTATTGTTTTCATTATTCAAGTAGGATTTGTGTTATTGTTTAGGAGTTAATTATTATTTCCTTGTAGGTTGGATTTCATGTTTTGGATAGGAAAAGGGAGAGGGAGGCCGCCGGCCATATAGGAGAAGGATTGGGATTTTGAGGTTTTCCTAGCTTATAAATATGTTACTTATTCTCTAGTTTAACTAGTTCTTTACCCGCCTGTTGGGCGTTATGTTATATTTGGTTTTTTATTTTGCGTTCTTTTGTTATATCTAAAGAATCATTTATACTGGAAACATAAAACGACCACCACTATTTAGAAGACGGTAAACCAATTGAAAATATGAATGCATTGATTAACCTAAAATAATTAGATATAAATTAAAATTCATCCGATCAACGGTTCGAGCAAAAACTAGTTCTTTTGGTGTCCAGATCAGGTTGGTAACCTTTCCATGAGTAACCCGTCAGTAAACTCATCCCTGTCCCCACGTGTCAGCCTTTTTCCAATTTAAATTATATACAGAGGGGTAGTAGGTAAAATTGCACCCACCTCATTTAATGCTGACAGACGCAGATGCAGACCCACTCTTCACCCCACTCCACGCGTATTCCCCCATTTCTCACTCTTTTTTTCATTATTAAAAGAAAATTATATTATTTATTGTTTCTCACATACAAAAATGAATCTAACCATCTAAGCTATCTCTATTCTAATTCCAACTTAAATTGAATGATGATTTTTTTGTTAAATAATTCAGTGCTAAAAACAATAATTACAAATATGAATATGATTATCATTTTCTACTACCGTGGTAAAACATGGTAAAATCTGTTGAATAAAATTACAAATGTAACTACCACACAATACCACAGGTATTACGTGGTAAAACATGGTATTATGATAAAACATGGTATTACGTGGTAAAACATGCTACATAAAATTTACAAATCTAATTACCATACCATACCATACCATACCATACCATACCATATGGTATAACATGCTAAAAATAAAATTACAAATCCAACTATCACCACATGCTATAACTTGGTAAAATACGCTATAAAAATTATAAATCTAACTACCATACAATACCACCATAGTATAACATGGTAAATCGAATGACCACAAATTAATTATAATTATCATACAATACCACATGGTAGGAGAATGTAAAATCATATAAAAATATAAATCTAATTACAACCCTCTACGACACAATATAAATATAATTTCTCAGAATTGGTGTCGATTATCACCCAATACCATATGGTATAGTGTGGTAATATCAATATATAGTTCGTTACCACACAATACGTAACGAAATATATATTACCTAAAAGAAAAAAAAAGAAGGATGGAGAGGAAAAAAAAACTTGTCTTCTCTCTCGTTTCATTTCCTCCGCAATAAAGAACACCAAATGCCAAAAAAGGAGAAAGATCGAAATTGAGGCCAACGATTTGATGAAGAGAAGAAATGCAATGAAAAGGTTGGCTGTAATTTTTCTTCTTCAATTGGTGGAGAAAAAATGAAGAAGAAGAGAAGGAAGTAGATCTAGATTTGGAGAAGGAGATTGGGAGAAAGAAACGAAGAGAGAAGGAAGAGAGAATGAGAAATGAGAGTTGCTGAGAAAATACTATTTCTTTCTCTTCCATTGAAAAGTCAGCCATTTAATGCTAAATTCAAAATTAAAAAATGGACAAAAATGCCCCTCCCCACCTCGTGTCCAGCCCAGCCGTATAGTTACTCTGTCCTCTAGATCTACGATCCCGTTGTGGGTTACTGACAAGTCAGTAACCAACGGTTACTGACCGTATCCTAGACCGTTCTTTTGTATTGGTTTTGGGTGTATGAACGGGTGCTTGTATTTATACTTTCTGTTATTTTCTTTGCGGGATTCTTTCGCTTTCACTGTCGTTCTTATTTATTTTTTTGGAATTTAAAGTTGTTTTGCTATTATGTGTTATGTTCGAAACGTGATACATGCTATATTTATGGTTTGAGGTTTTAAACCTCTGTTGGGAGACATTATATTGAACTCTCTTGCAATGATGTATGCTCTATGACTATGAGTGTCTTTTTCTTCGTAATGCTTTTGACCAAATCGATCATAAATTGAATTTTTGGGAAGTTTGCATGGCCTGTGAAAATCATCAATAAATCTGGATATCTCATTGTTCGGTATATGGCCATAGTGGTAATTCTCATACCTTTACCTTGGGCTACGTACCCATATGCGAGGAGCTCATAATTACGTGCTTCCATGTGGCTTTAGTACTAAAATCTCTTTGAAAAAACATATCCATCAAAAGATTCAAGTTGCTTGTCCTGAGTCTGTGTTTGGTATTCCTAATCCAATCCAAATGCTATTATTCCGCTAAAGCATATGCATTGACCACATACTGCTAGAATAGTTTCTCAGATAACAACAATGTGCGGCTTTCATGAAAGAAAGTTTGAATCCTATACGCATAAAACTCACACTACGTTAGAAACTATTCATTTGAATCTTCATATCCTCCACTACATAAATAAATCTTTGCACCAACCATAATCTCCATATGGGAAGAGTAATGGATAATGTAAAGTCATTAAGCTAGGAAGGTAGATACTAATTATTTGTAGTTAAGTAGTCTGGTGTGTTTTTTTTCCCGTACGTTGTTCGTCGAGATGTTTCACAATAAGAGCTACAACTTCATTTCCAATAGGAATAGTGGCTGAGCCAATGGGAATGAGGGAGGTCCCATGCACCACCTCAAATATGAAATACACTAATAAAAATATAAAGGATTGTAAACTGTATCGAAAGTTGTACTTGAAAAGCAAGTGTTAGGGTATTTGGTGCTTAAACTCTATATTAACCATTTCATACCTCTAAAACCTCCTTTCGGCTTTGACTCTAATATAAAGGTTTTGTTTTTCTGACCATCTACTATAGGATTTTGTGAACACTGAAAAATATATTTTTGATGATTTGGTAAAAGGGTGAGTTGAACAAAGGACCTCCACATTTGAGCCATCTTCTTCACAACTAACTAATTATCCACGACTTCATGGTTCATATTTAACACTGACATATTATGTGACATAAGATTGAACCTTTTATGTCTAGATCGATTTCATCGGCCATATAAACTATAACTATGAATTTATGTTGGTGTAACGGGTTTCCCATTAAAAGACGAAGCCAAAATTTATAAGCCACTCAAAAACATATCATACATGGTAAGATATACCGGTTGACTATATCAGAAATGCGAAGCCAAAATTTATTAGCCACTCAAAAACATATCATACATGGTAAAATATATCAGTTGACTATATCAGAAATGCGATTAATGATCAAAATTATCAGTCATTAGCCCCATGGTACCATAGACATACCCTAAGAATAACAAAGATCTTTTTGCATTAAAATTATTGTCCATATCGATCAATATTATCATGAAGAGGTTTATGTTTCAAATCAGTGGCCAACAGGGATAGTTATCATTTTCACTCTAGTCCCCTTGGAACTAAGTTATGTGTTAACCTAATAATGGAAGAGCGGATAAATTAATATTAAAATGTCCAGACCATCGATCTATGTTGATCGTTGTGCCCATCCACAGATATAGAGTTTGAAATTGGTAACTAACAACAAAAGTTATGGCACGTGTCACTTTAAACAATGACGTATGAATAATCAATGTGAAATGGGTACCACACGTACTCATTCATACCAATCGGCAATGCCGCGAGAATCAAACAAATAGTATGATTACCAAAACACTAGCAAAAGTTAATAACAAGGAGCTCGACATGGGGAGAGTATCTGCGACCAAATTGGTCGGCTTCGTCGTCCTCATCCTATTTTTCTTGGTTGTCGCTACTAACATTGCCTTGCTTCCTGCTGTCGCTAATAGGCTTTCTGGCGCCGGCGTTGCTGCCAAAAGCCTTCCTGACGGTGCTGATTCTGTTCCTGGTGAGAGTTTTCCTTCCGTTGCGGCCACCGCTGATGAAGCCCTTCTTGCCAATAGTACTGGTGCAGCGGCTGTTAGTAACAGGACAATGAAAAATTGAGGTAACCGAAATCTGGCTGAGTCGCGGACTAAATCGCTATTTTTAATACATTTACATAACTGCCTCTTTGCACACAACAGTTCTAATCGGCAGTAGCCTCTAGGATAAAACAACCTTCTCTTCAAACTCTATGGTTTTGTGCGAAAAACCTAAGCTCCTTGAATACACATACTCTCTCTCTCCCTTGTGTTTTTTGCTCGTTTGTCGTGTGTATATAGGGTCTTAGGAGACGACTATTTAAAGAAGCCAGACCCCATGAATATACCCTCTGACTTGGGGAATAAGTCGCATTAATTAGGAAGATAGTTACTTTCTTAATTAAAACGCGTCCAGTAGGATAATTACTGCCGAATTATCCCTCGAATATTCCTTCGAGTTCATTATCTCGTATCTGTTAACGATACAAAATAATTAATCAATAAATAATTAATCTGGGAATTTCGTCAAAAAAATATAAGTCCTTGGTCGACGCACCCACCCACTCGCTCGTGCACACTCGTGTTTGTGGTGGTCCATTAGTTTCTCCCTCTCCCACAAAAGTGGGTCACCCCTAGGGGCATGCACTTAGGTGAGAGAACCCAATCTTTATACCACTTTGGTAGGAGTTCTCCCACTAATGTGGTATTCTATCCTTAGGACTTATAGCTTTCAAAAGCTATTCACTCCATTTCTAACAATCCTCCACTTGAATAGTTTTGAAACTATCTTTGAGCATTAACAGATCTATAGGATCATGCATAAACTAAGGTCTTTCTCGAGTTGAACCTTAGCGTGGTGGTTACTTCCGATTTCATAAGGGTGACTCGTGGTCTTGAACCCTATCTCAAATAGTGTAGCACATCGAATCTTTTCATTGAGTGTTATTCTCTCATAGACCTTGCTTTTATGGCCCTGCACGTTATCGCGGTTTAGTGAATACTCTAGCAACTTTGTGCCTCCAAAGTTCCATAGGGGGCGGCCCCACTCCCACATTCACACAGGTGAGTCTATCAGAAGTACCGCCAAAGTAAAGTACTCCACCCCACATAGGGTATATATCTCATTAAGAGTTTTAACTTAACCTCCATTGCTTTGGGATTCATGTTTCACTATGCTTGAACTTTTCGCATACTACTCATAACTTGTTATTACCTATTGTATCCATTTCTTGGGTTGGGTTACCATCACTTGTAGTCCGTTGTTCGGTAGGCATAAGTCCCACACCCTTGGTAGTATTTTGGAATTTTACTCTAGGTAATCCTTTCGTCAAAGGATTAGCTAGATTTTGTTCGGATCTTACATGATCCAACATCATTGCTCCTATCGTTAGAAGTTCTCTTACGTTACTGTGCTTAGAACAAATTTTTCGTCTCTTTCCGTTATAGAACCTGTTCTCAACTTAAGCGATAGTTGCGGTGCTATCACAATGGATCATCAGTACCGGAGGGACCGGTCTTTCCCATAAGGGAATCTCTGACAATAATCCTCTCAACCAACTTGCTCCTTCACTAGCCGTTGCAAGTGATATCATCTCTGATTCCATAGTTGATTGAGCTAGGATTGATTGTTTCTTAGACTTCCAAAATATACCCACTGGTTGCCTTGGAGTCGTGTGATAGGTATTCCAGTCCGCATCACTATACCCTTCTAGTACAACATGAAACCTTTGATAATGTATACCAAGGTTCGTTTTTCTCTTGAGGTATCTCAAGCCCCTCTCTATAGCATTATAATGCTCTCTAATAGGACAACTATTAAATATGCCAAGCAATCCCACGACATATGCAATGTCTAGTCGAGTGTAATCCGCCGCACAACAGAAACAGACGATGATGCTAGCATATTTAGATTGCCTTACACTGTCTCCAGTGTTCTTGAATAGATTTATACTAGCATCATACGGAGTACATGCAGGTTTACAAGGAAAATAGATATATTTCTTCAAGATCTTCTCTATGTAACCAATTTGATATAGAGAATAACCCTTTGTTGTTTTAGTTATATGGATTCCAAGCATAAACTTAGCTTCACCGAGATCTTTCACCTCAAAGTTATCTCACAACATGGCTTGTGTTTTATTGACCACGTGGATATTTGTGCCAAATATCAACATGTCACCTACATATAAACATATGCTAGTCCAAGTGTTATTTTCTGATTTATAGTAAATATGCTTGTCAATTTCATTCACCTTAAAACCATTTGAGAGAACTAGGTTGTCAAACTTCTCATGCCACTGTTTTGGAGCCTGTTTCAAACCATACAATGATTTGTTGAACTTGCAGACTTTCGAGGCATGTTCAGAAATAACAAACCCTTTAGGTTTCTCATGTAAATTTCTTGGTCCAACTCACCATTCAGAAATGTAGAGTTAACATCCGTTTGGAGTACCATGAAATTATCCAAGGAAACAAGAGCAATCGTGACACGAATGAATGGTATTCTAGATACTGGTGAATAGGTATCAAAGAAATATACATTCTCTCTCTGCCTGTAGCCTTTAACTACTAAGCGAGCTCTGAATCTTTCAATTGCACCATTATGTCTCCGTTTCATTTTTAGAACCCATTTATTACGTAAGACCTTGTAGCTAGGAGGTAAGTCTGTAAGATGCCAAATTGATGCTTTCTCTCTCGCTTGGTCTATTATACATTAGGTTGTGTTGGTTTATAATTTTTCAGGTCCTAGTACGTGAATGGGTGCGAAGGAGCGAGTTTTGGGACGTTTTGGAGCGATCGTGCAGAGAGAAGGGAAAAGTTACGAGCAGACCTTGAAAGTTACGATCAGCATCATAACTTCCCCATGCAGCCCGTAACTTTTAAAGTTTCGGCCAGACTTAGGAAGTTACTGTCTGCACCGTAACTTCTCCTCCACACCCATAACTCTGAGGAAGTGAGGCTAAAGATTCAAGGAGCGTTTTTAAAGTTATGGCCTCCTCCTTAAAGTTACGGTCACAACCATAACTTCCCCTTTGAAGCCATAACTCTTGGTTTACGGAGTGCTTGAAGTGTTGCTGTTTTACGGGAAGTTACTGGCTGGGCAAGAGAGTTACGACCTTAACTTTGGCTGTAACTCACAAATTTCCAACCTTTAAAAGGCCAGCTCGGGCAGATTGAAAAGGATTTGGATTTTTGAGTTCTAAAGAGCAGAAATACAACCCTAGAGAGAGAAAGTGATAAAGAACAATCGTGGGACCGGATTGGAGCGATCTAAGGACATTGGAGCTGGATATTTCACCCTTGGAGTGCCGATTTCTAGCTAGGAGAATATTTTAATTCCTCACATGATGATTTCTCTTCCAAGCTTGGTGTTTTACCTTCTCTCCATGGAGTAATCTCCCTTTTCATCTAGTTATGAAGAACCCTAGTTTTGTACATTAGGAATAGTTGTATGACCCTGTTTGTGAATGATTGATTCAATATATTCAATTGAGGCATTAATGAGAATTGCATGAGTCTTTATGAAAATTTTGTGATTTCTGCTTTAACCTAAAACGATAGTGTCTACATAGGTTAATAGGGAAACCTTAAATTGAAAGTGGTGAATCAATTGCTTTAGTCGACAATTCGATTTACTGCTCTATACTGGAACTAAAGCCAGTAGAGGAAGTTTGTGTTATTTCCTTGGTTATTTTATGCCATTGGAGGTTAGTCGCGCACCGGGTATTCAAAGCGAGAGGGTCTGGATTGCTTTATTCGAGATTTCAGACTTGTCAAGAACTTTCCGCAGTATATCTATCAATCGAAGCAAATTGGGAACATATAATCTGAACTAACTGCATTCTAGAGGGACTCATATCTGGCTGACCTTTAGCCGCTTGAGAACCAGAACATCTACTGCTTATTGTTTATTTTTCCTTTGAACACTTCACTCAATCTTTTCCACTAGATAATAGATAATCATGGAGTAGGCATTACATCTAGGCCCCGGGTTGATTTTTATTACTTGTCCCACTATACTGCATTTCCAGACTACGATTGCACTTGGTGGTAGTTTGGTTTTGTGTTTTAGCGAGTCACCAAGTCTTATTAGCTTTCAACGAATCCATTTAATCTCTAACGACCTCATCCCACAAGTTCGTATCTATGGAAGATAGTACTTCCTACAAACTTTTAGGATCTTCGAGGATGTATATTATAGTAAAGTCTTCATCAAAATCTTTGGAGATTTTAGTTCGTTTACTTCTTCTGATTTCAATCTCAGATCCAACACCCCCACTAATTCTGTTATCTCTAATAGCAGGTAGTACACTACCGCCACTATTTCTTGTTTTAAATGGAAATCGATTCTCGAAGAAATCAACATCATTAGATTCTAGGGTTAATATCATATTTTGGTCTGACCTATATCCAAACTTTCTACTTTGACCCGAACTATGCACCATATTTCCTTGATTGGCCCATCGCGGGTTTTGACCGTCAAATTGGACAGTCAACTCCATTAATCGTTAGTCGAGCGCAGGTCACTCACTTGCCACGTCTGCGAACTCGAAATAAAATTTTGAATTTTGAAATTATTTAATTCGTTTCATTTTCGATAACAATAATAATTAACGAAAAAAATAATTCAAAAGTTTGGAAAACAAAAATAATTAAAGAAATTCAAAATTCAAAATTTTTATTTCGGGTTCGTTGACGTGGCAAGTGACCTGGCACTTGACTAACAGTCAATGGAAGTTGACCGTCCAATTTGACGGTCAAAACTGGCGTCGGGCCAAGCAAGAAAGTATGGTGCATAGTTCGGGCCACGTGAGCAATTTCAGAAGCCACGGGCCAAAGTAGAATGTTTGGATATCATTCGAGCCAAAATAAGGTATTAACCCTAGATTCTATTATAGTTTGAGCATTCAAATCATAGAATCTATATGCCTTGGTATTGGCAGCATAGCCAACAAAGACACACTCATATGCTCGACTAGCCAGCTTAATACTCTTAGGATCCAAAATTCTTACGTAAGTTAAGCAACCCCATGTTCTTAAATAAGACAAATTAGGTGGCTTATTCTTCAAAATCTCGTGGGGTGATTCTTTCTATTAGTTTTTGGAAGACGATTAAGCACATAGCAAACCGTCAACAAAATATCACCCCACCAAGAAGAAGCAGCTCTAAAATTAAGCATAATAGCCACAACAAATTATGTATATGTCCTATTTTCCCGCCCGGCTTTACTATTCATTTTTGGTGAGTATGGTGTCGTGGTTTCATGAATGATACCATGTGAGCTATAGAATTTATTAGGGGTGATAATCGGTTGGCGGTTTCTCGGTTAAACCGAAAACCAATCCGATCCGAGCGGTTATTCACCGAACCGAAAACTGATAACTTACCCTCGGTGGCGGTGTCGGTGGGCTGTTTTGGGGATTTATGTTAACCGGCAACCGTCGGTGGCTAACCGAGATAAAATCGGTGCGCCGCATAACCGCTCCGCCACTCCTTTTCCCCCTAATCTCCCTCCCAACCCAAGTCCCAACCCCTCAATGGCTCTCTAGAAGAAGAATTTTTGTTGCCCTTTCATCCTCAATCGCTGTCTTCCGCCATCGAGATCCAGCAAAAGAAGGCCAAGAAGGAGAAGGGGTCGTTGCAGGCTGCAGCAGTGAAGATCGATCATTGGTCTTCGTCGCCATCCCGTCCTTCTTCATTCGCGGAGGTTGACGAGAACTGCAAAGCCGAAAGAATCAAAGCGGTCTCAGTCTCCGCCCCTTCTTCATCCTCCAGATCCAAGGCCTATTGGCCGTAGCAGCAGGTCGATCTTCGGTCGCCGTCGTCATCGCCGTCCCCTGCATCACCTTGCATGTTCCATCCTCGCCGCCCTGCATTCTTCCTCGTCGCCACCGCCTCCCATCTACCTCGCCGACGCCCTTCGTCGGAGCCGATTGCCAGCTCACCGTCGTTGCAAAGTGAGAGGGGAAGAGGCTAGGAGCAGCGGAGTCAAAGAGGGAAATTTCAAAGATTGGAGAAGATTTTGAGTGAGAAAGAGAGATACGGGAGTTGGATTAGGAAATTTCCAGAGAGAAGGAGAGAGACAACCCAAAAATTCCCCTTATTTTATTTTAATTGTGAGGGTCGGTTTAGCCGACTAACCGCAGTTAGCGGTTTCGGTGGCGGCTAACCGTAGACCTTCTCGGCTTCGGTGACGGTTGGTGGTAACGGCCTATCTTCGGTGGCGGTTAACCGACGAATCGGTTCGGTTAAACCGCAACCGAACCGATTATCAGGCCTAGAATTTATTGAAGGGATTAGAGTCGTACTCTGATCCTCTATCACTTCTAAGTTGTTTTATTTTTCTGTTGCACTAATTTTCAAATTCAACCACAAATACCTTAAACATATCAAGGGCATCACTTTCGTTTTTCATCAAATAAACAAAGTAATAATTAGAGCAATCATCTATGAAAGTGATAAACTATCTCTTGCCAAACCTAGTTAACGTCTCATCTAGTTCACAAATATCAGAATGAATCAGATATAGGGGTTATGATTCTCTACTCACAAATTTATGGGGCGTTTTCGTTATTTTAGCTTGTCTACATAAATCACATTTATCAAATTCATTCATTAAGGGTTTAGCGATGTGTCCTAAGTTTCTCAAATTCTTTATAATTTGTGTGTTGACATGAAAAAGACGAGCATGCCAAACATTAAAATTACACAGCATGTAAACTAAAGAATTCATCTTATTGCTTTCCACATTCAACTTAAACATCCATCACAAGCATGACCCTTTCCCAGAAAATTCACATTCTTAGTAAGGGTATAAAAGTCAGCCCCAATAGTCGGAGTAAACCCAGCCTTATTCAAAAAATAACCCAAAACAAGATTCTTCCTTATCTATGGAGTGTGCAAGACATCCTTCAAAGTCATCGTCTTTCCAGAGGTAAAGCTCAGCTCCACATCCCTAGAACCAGCAACTATAGTGGTGTGGGGAATCCCCAACAACACTTTCTTATCATCAGGTGCCTCATTGTATGTCTTGAACATGGCACGGTTATTATAGATGTGCTTCAAGGCTCCCATATCCAACCACCATCCTTTTGAGTTACCGGCGAGGTTAACTTCAGCTATCATATCGGCGATCACGGCCACCAAATCCTCTTATGTCAAGTTAACCCTAGTAGCAGCAACATGGTTAGACTTTTTCCTGCACTTCGTGCCATATAACGGTGGGTCATTCTTAGAGGGTTGGGGTCGTGACCCTTTGGTTACCTCGAGAGGCACTATTATGGTTGGGGCGGACCTAGGGGTGGGCAATGAGAGGGTTTTCGTTTCAAATTGACCCACCTGCTTACTAGCGAGTTGGAATAATTGTGACCCGTAATCCACCCACATTCTTCTGCGGGTCGGGTTGGGTGGGTGGCGGATGGGTGCGGTTGGATCGCGGGTTAACCCGCAAATGCAAATCTCCAACTAGCCATTAAGAAAGTTGACTAAAATTTATAATAAGTTCATAGTAAATTAGTAAGACTATACCAATTTAAACACTTCTCACTTCGTCTCAAGTGAATCCATTTAGTATTTGCATAATTTTTTTTTACTACTCTATCAACCAATTGTGTAGAGAAAACTTACGCATTTTGTGATTTTGATACAGGTAATAATTTATAGTTTTCATCACAATATTTAATGGATATTAATAATAATCTGAATTCCAATATCCAATATCAAATGAATATTACACAACACAATAACCAATAATAGTAGTCAAAACTATTATTTATTCTCCTCCTTTAGAAGTATATGGTGAGACTGTAGTATGGTTCAGAAATCATGATGAATATTTGATACAATAAGAAACAAAATATAATTCATGTGAAAATAGAATGTGGGTCATTCAGGTGTCCAGCAATGCACTCACATCATTCACCCACTGCTTCTGGGTTGGGTTATTTGTGGGTGGATCAATATTAATCCGCGGATTAACCACCCATGTGCCTGCCCCTAGGCAGACCTGCTAGATCTGTTTCAGGAAACCCTTCTGATTTGGTTTCAAAGCCTAGGGCGTGGAACTCTTAACACTGGTTAACACTACCACTTCTTTCTTATCCCGTTTACGAGCTTATTCTGCTATTTATAGGCAATTAATCAAACTTTCCAGTGAAAATTCTTTAGTTTTGTGCCTAAAACATTCTTAAAATTTTTCCACGAAGGGGGAAACTTATCAATTATGCAAGAAACTTGAAACTGATCGTCTAGAGGCATACCTTCATAAACCATCTCATGGGCTTTTTTCTGAAGTTCGTGGGATTGCATCTCGAAAAACTTGTTGTCCATCATCTGGTGTCATATTTCTTGGCTCCAGCCTCCTCATTGTCATATTTCTTTTGGAGAGCCTCCTAGACCATCATCACGGTATTGCTTTGATCCACGTAGTAGTCGTAGAGACCATCCGCTAGCCCATTGCGGATATAGTTATTGCAAAGGAAGTCTTCGTCTTTCACCTTTGTGGCAGCAACCCTCTCCGCATCAGTTGCTTCTTCGTTCAAATCCACCGGCATGTTGGTGAGATAGTGCACACAGTAGTTCTACTCGTCGGTCGCCTTTAGGATAAAACAACCTTCTCTTCTAACTCGACGGTTTTGTGTGAAAAAATCGAAGCTCCTAGAATACACTCTCTCTCATGTTTTTGCTCGTTTCTGGTGTGTATAGAGGAGATTAGGAAACAACTATTTATAGTAGCCAGAACCCCACAAATATACCCTCTGAGTTGGGGAATAAGTCACATTAATTAGGAAGATAATTACTTCCTTAATTAAAACGCGTCCAGTAGGATAATTCATGCTGAATTATCCCTCGAATATTCATTCGAGTTAATTACCTCGTATCTGTAAAGGATAAAGAATAATTAATCAATAACTAATTAACAAATAATCTCGGAATTTCTCCGAAAATATAATTCTGAGGTCGACCCACCCACCCACCCACTCGCTCGACCGGTCAGTCTGATGGCATGCCCATGTATGTGGTGGTCCGTTAGGTCCTCCTTCTCTATAAAAAATGGGCCACCCCAAGGGGCATGCCCTTAGGTGAGAGAACTCAATCTTTATACCACTTTGGTAGGAGTTTTCCCACCAATGTGTTATTCTATCTTTAGGACATATAGCTTTAAAAGCTATTCTCTCCATTTCCAACAACGACGACGAAGGAGGGGATAAAGGCGACAACCAAAGCCGTAAGAATATTAATGGTCATGAAGAAAAGAATAATGATATTGGAGATGATGGAGATCGTATAAATACTAATCATAAGAGTGGTAATAACGCTGAAGGTCATGGGTACTAAGGGAAAATTAGGTATGAAAAAAATTTATGAATTATTTTTTTAATAAATTATATTTTAGAAAGTTACCAAAACCTATTGATTACAATTTTATTTTTCATTCTCTCACTTTCGCAATCTCCAATCAGATCTCTCTACCTTCTTGTTCTCAATCTTTTCATTTTCTTCGTTCACTACAAAAATAAAACAAGAAATTAATACCAATCTGGTAGACAACCACTACTGCTTCGAAAAGCACTACTAGCATTGCAGAAATAAATCAATACCATTATACTAAAACTAATAATATAAACGATCTATATTATTACAAGAGTCAAACCAATACCAAAATCAACCAATACCACTACTACTGTGAAATCAAAACAATACAATTGCACAAATAAATCAATACCATCATGAAAACAAAACTATACAATTTCATAAAAAAGCGAATAATCCAGAACCAAAACAATAAACCCAGATCTAGAGCCGTCTCCCACGGAGAGAGAGAGAGAGATAGATAGATTGATAAATAGAGAGAGAGAGAGAGAGAGAGAGAGAGAGAGAGAGAGAGAGAGAGAGAGAGAGGGAGAGAGAGAGAGAGAGAGAGAGGAAGGGTGGTCGACAACGACAACGACAATGGTGGTCTCTGAGAGAGAGTGAGGAGGAGAGGGCGTGCGAGGAAGTAGGAATGGCAATTTCGACCCGACCCATTTTACCCGACTTGTTGGACCTGTTTTGGGCCGGGTCCGACCTGCCCCGTAGGCGGGACCGGGCGGGCACGGGTACTCACATCGGCCCGACCTTCCCTGACCCGGCCTATTCTCGACCCGTTTTTGCCTAAATTACATGTAAGCTTAGTAAAATTTGTTATACCCCGCTCTCCCTAAAAGTCAAAATGATTATTATACCCTCGAGTCAAGTTGTCAAGTTTCACCGTAATATCGATGAGGATTAAAAATGTGAACTATCGATTTAAACGGTGGCGAGTTTTGACATAAAATAAGTAAGTTACGTACGTTATCTGAGTTTCGAGTCAAACTCAATCGTAACTGTGAAGTTCCCAAAATATCCTTGAAACCCTAAACCTAACCCAACCGGTCCCATACTTGTCCACTCCATTTCATATATAAATCGTATGAGAAGAAATAAAAGGGCACACAAGTGCCTCACCCTAAATCTAATCCTAGGCAGCCGCTAGCCAAACCCTCTCTATCTCCCTCTTGCCCCTTCACTCACGGGAAAAAACCCACTGCCGCCACACATCATTCATCTTTAGCTCCATCACAGAGCGTCAGCGGCAATGTTAGGGAGCTCCGAGCGATTACGATGAAGTCTTCCAGGTGATGCTGATTGGGAGAAGGGTCGAGCTGGTGGTAGGCGGAGATCAAGGCTTCTTCGATGCGATTTGTCCTTGTGCTCCCCCTAGTGATGGCGACGATGATGAAGGGAATGACAAATTGGTGTTAAGAATTGGTTGCATTTGAATTTGAACGATGACGTGGGAGCTTGCTGTGAGTTGCCGATTAAAGAAAGTGACCAATAGTGATCGGTGCAAGTAAGCAAGCAACCGTCGGGCCATATCAACGAAGACAAATCAACAACGATCCAGGAGATTTAGGAGCTGCTGGCGAATTGTGGAGGGAGCAGTAGCAGTTGTTGGTCGATGCAGTGGACAAAAGGAGGTACGTACAACCTTTTTCTATTGAACTGATGATAACTATTGCTTCCGTCATTGTGGTACGGTGATGGGGAAAAGGTTTTGGTTCCAATAGTTTCGGAGGGGAGGTACTACGTGGTGAAAGGAGAATTCCAAGTGAATAAATGGTAGGTAATGGTGGGTGGATTACCCATTGATGGAAACGTGTGATTGGGTTTTGGTTGGTGGGGAAATATTTAGTTTTTATGGATGAATTTGGAAGAGGAAAGCAGAGGCTTGACTTAATTTGGTTATGGTCAAGGTGTAGAGGATATATTTTACGAGATGGATGATAGCAAGAGAATTCTGATGGATGGATTGAAATATCAGACCACTAATGGTAGGAAGCATGGTTTCTCGTCGGATCAATCTAAGTCGTTTCATCAATGAGGGGAGTGTAAAAGGGGGTAAATCCTACGCCTTACCGTATTTCAGTTTTTGAGATTGATTGCTATGTGCCGTACTTGCCTTTGTATGCTTATATGATGTCATATGATTTGTGTGAGTTATGCTTTCAGTTTTATGTTGTTGTGTGCTTTACTTACAAGCAAGTTTAAGTTTAAGAAACAAGTTTCTTTTAAGAAGTTCTTCACCTTCAAGAAGGTGAAATAGTTTTAAGTGTTTTTAGTCACTAGCGCCAGTCTGTTGCCATTTGAGATTTTGAGATAGAGCAGCAGTTATGCTCTTGAGACTTTTAACATGAGCAACAGTTATGCTCTTGAGATATTTAAGTTGAGCAGCAGTTATGCTTTTGAGACTTTTAAGACGAGCAGCAGTTATGCTCTTGAGAATCGTGGAAGAAGAGCCTTCCACGATAAGTATAAGTTTAAGGAAAGTTGTGATGGCTTCTCATACGTATGAGTTGGGCAACCAGACTAGAATAAAAGTGGAGATTTGAGCTTTAAGAGCACAGTTTTAAGAGTTAAGATTTTTAATAGTGGAAGTACAAAACAACTTCCACTAAGTTAAGTAAAGTGATCAAGTATTTATAAGATGTTAAACGTAAGGGCGTAGACTGACCCCATTTCACTCACCAGTCGAAGAGCTAGAGGAGGAGCTAGATGAGCAGTTAGTGAGCATCGAGTTCGAGGGCAGCCAGCTAGAGGAGGGCAGTACAAGCGTCACGGAGGATGTTTAGTCAAGGTTTTCAGTAGCAACAACATTAGAGATTTTTAGTTATTTACATTTATGATTATGAGTATAGACTGGAGATTAGATTGAGATTTTAAAGATTGAATTTAATTTGCCCACGTGCTAGGGCGTTGCTTTGAACTACAAGTGCGTGTTTACAGTATTTTTTTTATGAATATTTTTCCCACTACAATTTAAGATTTGAGTATTTTATTTTTCATGGGCATTTTAGTAAAGGTAGTACCCGGCCGGGTTAGGGTGTTACATTTTGGTATCAGATCCTGTCTTCCTCTGTTCCTTGGTCTCCAAGGAATACTGGAATATCGGTCTCAGTTTTAAAAGCTTTTGTTTTAAAGGAAAGGAAAATGAGTCAAGGATCTCCTTTTAAAAGTTTATAGAATCTCCAGTCTACTCTAATCGTATTAAGATAGATAACTTTAGTCCAAATACAAAGTGAGCCAATCACAAAGAGGTATTTGAGGTATAT